CGCGTTACCAAAACATTCCACCGTGCTGGTTTGGAGGAATATTCATCTGCAGCCTGTAGAAAATACCTGTACTTTGTTGTATTAATTGTTTTGTTTTAATTAATTGTTTGACTCCAGTGCTGTTTATTTAATATTTGTGTGAGTGGCGTCAGAGTTAAATTATTGCGATTATTTTCGTGGTAAAGATGTCAATCTCTAACGGTTGTTTGTTACCCCTTGGAAACCCATGGCTCTTGACTTTCTTTTTTATAAGATCCTGATTAGGCTGGCAAGGGATTTACAGTATATCCCAAAGACCAGGCCTTTACTCTAGTCGTCACCCTCTTATGTATGGAATCGGATTAATGCTATTCGGGGTACTCGACGGAGGCCTCCTCCCCACCTGACCCTGCCTGCTCTTTAATGGAGGACTGGGCACGAGCTTCCATCCCCCGAGGCACTTCGAGATCCGATGCAGGAGGCAGTGCAGGCTCGTATCGATACATCTGAGCCTGTTGTTCGTGCTGCTCTTACCTCCCCTGCCGTTACTGATTATCCCATCACACAGTTCGAGCTTGACAGTGCCCGTCGCTCTAGAAAAGACACCTCTCCTGGGGATGATCAGATAACCTACTCCGTCCTCAACGCCTGTACTAATATTCCTAACGGCCCCTTGCTTGCTCTCTACAATATGTCTTATGAACATGGGGTTCTCCCGTCTAACTGGAAAAATGCCACTATTATCCCCATTCCTAAGCCGGGAGCTCCTGGGAAATATCGACCTATTAGTCTTACCTCCTGTGTTTGCAAGATGATAAGAGAGGATACTCCATCATCGCCTTCTTCACACCATAGGCGACTTCCACAACTCCCTCAATGGTTTCATACAACATCACAGCACAACACACTCCATTGCTTCCTTTTATTGCAATCAGACTGCCCGCGTCTCCGTCTTCATTGATATCAAGGGAGCCTTTGATACGGCTCAGCCTGCCCTCATTTTAGCTGAATTTGCGCGGTTAGGGGTTAAAGGGAGATTTCTTCGATGGATCGCCTCTTACCTCACTGGACGTCAGGCCCGGGTTCGCGTTGAAGGCTCTATCTCCTGTTCAAGAAATGAACCTCGGCACCCCTCAAGGTGGAATCCTAAGTCCCACCTTGTTTAACACTCTCATGCACTCCATTGCATCTCTCCCGTGGCCGACAGAAGTTGTCCACTCAGGATATGCCGACGATGTCCTCCTCCAAGCCCTTGACTACCTCAGCATGTAGGAAGCCCTTGATCTGGTCTCCAGAGAATGTGATTCACTTGGTTTCCTTCTTTCAACTGCGAAAACAAAAGCCATGTGGCACGGTCGTGTTGTACCTCCCCCCCTTTTCTTATCAGGAACGCCCTTGGACTGGGTCAATGAGACAAAATACCTGGGTGTGTATGTAACTCGCACACTTTGTCAGATCCCTGAAGTCCGCTCTCTTCGAGACATATGCTTTCGGCGTCTAGCTCCCCTCTCTACCATGTGCAGGGGTTCCCTTGGTGCCACCACCCCTGTACTTCTCACCATGTACAAGTCCTTTGTCTGTTCCTGTGTCGACTACGCCGTCCCTGCCCTCGTCAACATTAGTCGGACTGCTGTCAACCGTCTCGAAATTATCCACAGGAAAGCTGCTCGTATCATCCTTGGGTCCCCTCAGTGGACACACTCTACCTCTCTATATACCGAACTTGGTCTTTCCCCCTTACAGGATCGTGTCCAGGAGTTTTACCTAAAACTACCGTTTCCATTCTACGGGATCCCCGGGGCAACTATGTCCAAGCCAAGTGACTCCTTCTGTCCGAGGCCGACCTCCATCTAGAAGACAGTGGCGAGGGTCACTCATCCGAGCCCTTCAGGAACACGACCTCCTCCCTGATATTGTTGTCACCCCTGCTGTTGGTTCGTTTCCTCCCTGGCTGGATTTTCAACTTGAAGTGATTGCCCTCGGTGGACCGTTCCCGAAATCCCACGTGAACCCTGTTATTCTCTGCAAATATCCATCCAATAAGCAGTCAGCTGCCTTGCTAAAAACTGACCATAGACCTCATTTGCAAGCTCCAAGTGAACAAAATACAGTACATGTACTGTATATTCAATTGGTGTCAAATTGTCAACATTACAAATGAACCAAGCCAAGAGGCTGTGGACATGATGTGACACGAGTTATGACCTCACATAACGTGGGTTACCACCACTGACAGCATTTAGACTGACACAAATGATCTGTGAGTTGATATACAGTACTGTATACAATAAATTTAAGTGATTTAAGATGTTTATTCATCTTCTCCAATAAAACAATATGGGCAAGCAAATTTCCTCCAAAAATTTGTCAGGGCAAGTAAATTTCTAAAGTCACTTACCTGGGATAAATAAATGTTGCACACAATCTGCACTGCCTGACTAATAATGTTAATTTTTAGCAATGTTCCTTTCTTCTTTCCAGTGTTTATCTTTAACTTTTTCCTATAACCTTAATCAGAATAATGTATGCTACATGTTCATTCTTTTTACTTTTTCCTCAGGTTCAGTTGACAGCACAACATCTTCTGCACATAGTAAGTGTAAGTTTCCAAGTTGTGTCATCATGTCTCCACTTCATCCCAAGAAAACAGTAAATAACCTTAGAAACATTACACTTTCCTGACACATCCCTTCTCACACATGTGCTCCTCCACCACAAAAACTCTGACACTCACTCATACACTATTAAAATATCTTACAACCCTTGTATTTACCTTGACACATGCTTTCTCAGTCATTACAGGAAAATAAAAATTATCTTTACCTTATAACCTCTGCCTTGCCAGCTAAGGGGGTATTTGGAAGTCCTATACTTATAATACCAAATCCCCAATACGTATATAGAAATGGGTTAGTGATAGGCAGTGGCATAGCGAGACCATGTGCCACTCAGGACGAGACTTCTGAGTGCCGCCCCATCAGAGCTACATCAATGGGTTTCGCTGAGAAGCTTCCTTGATAAAATTATTAAGTATTTGATTTGCATGTGTCTGTCATTTATATTTTCAGTTAGTCTTTAATTTATTGCTCAATAATAGCTGATGATGGCCACATGTATTTCTTGGATTCTAAGGAGAATTTGTGTTGTTGCCAATCGTCACCTAAAATTAAACCCACTATAGGACCACTGAAAATGCTACTGTACACATTATCCTGTTATGTTTCTTGACTTTTTCATTGCTACAGTAAAAGTCCAAAAATCCGGATGCCAGAAATCCGGACCACCCGAGAATCTGGACTTTTCGAAAACTCGTTTTTTTTTTTTTTTTTAGCGGGCTTTTGTGTGTGTGCGCATGCGTGAGCGCCACAGCTGCACAGCGACAACAAGCGACCACGTGGTCGCCACTTTAAAATGAGCAATCAAACCGTGACAACATATGTAATTTTGAGTCCTACTCTTTCCATTTACAGAGTACTATACAAGCCCATAATAATGGCTCCTAAAGTAGATAAACTTCGTTGTGTGAAGAGAAATAAGAACACGTTGAAATTGAGTGACAAACTTGAAATATTTAAGAAACTAGAACGTGGTGTGAGCAATACTGTTCTAATGGAAACATACGACATTGGAAAGTCTACAATTTATGATATAGAAAAGGCAAAGAATAAATTTCTAGAATTCACAGCTTTTTCTTTAAAACTGCTCATTTTGATAAATGAAGCATGCTATATTTGCTAATTAATAAACTATCAAAATGTACCTGTTCATCTCTTCTTTATTCCTCCTTAAATTTGAATTTTAAAAGTACTGCCTGAGAATCCGGAAAATCCGAAAATCCGGACTGACCCAATCCCCAAGCAGTACAGGTTGACAATCCCTTATCCGAAATCCTTGGGGCCAGAGGCATTTCGGATTTCGGAATTTTTCGGTTTTCAGAATGGTTAATTATTATTATTATTATTATTATTATTATTATTATTACAGTATTATTATTATTATTATTATTATTACAGTATTATTATTATTATTATTATTATTATTATTGTTTGTTTTTTTGGCCTACCGGGGCACAAGTCACTGACCCACATTGGGGCCTAGGTGGCGAAAATATAATAAAAATAATAATAATACAGTAATAACAATTCATAGGTCTAGGTCGTGTTTCTCACTTTTGATCTTTTTTCTTCATTCTTGTATTTCTTTATTATTATTATTTTATTATTGTTATTATTATTATTAAGTTTATTATTATATTTTATTATTATTGTTATCGTTATCATTATTATTTTATTTTGGTGTATTTTTTATTACAATTTTTATTTACTATGAATAATTATTATAATTATTATTACGATTGCATTTTTGCCCCCCAGGCCCCGATGTGGGTCAGTGATCTATGCCCGGGTGGACTAATCCCTGTTTATAAAAAAAAAAAAAAAAAGGTTTGCCCACAAAAAAAAACTCGGTTTTTAGAGCTTTTCGGATAAAGGGTTGTCAACCTGTATTATTATTATTTTTTCACCTTTTACTGATCTTTTCAGTAGTCATCCACAACTCCACGTCAAAAAGTAAAAATGTGTTTGTTAATTATATATCTTGGAAGCAAATTTGCTGTCCCCAGAGATTGCCGCTCAGGGCGGTCAATCCACTTGTCCCCCCCCTCGCTAAGCCACTGGTGAAAGGAAGGGCATCTAGCCATAAATCTTGCTTCAAATGTACCTAATGGCAACTAGGGTTCTATGCCTTCAGATAATCTCTCATACTTTTCATACTCAAACAGTCAAGTCAGCTGCTTCCTCTCTGCAGTTCAAATAAAAACCAGTGAAAGCTGCACTAGTTCAGGCTAATCAAAGAATTCTGTTAATGAGTGAATCAGTCACTCAGGAATGATGTTCATATAATTATTTGATACAGTAAAAATTAATTACATAAACAGATGTAGTGAAAACTCAGATTTTCATTATTATTATTACTGTACCTGTATATGAGAATTAAAAAAAAATCAGGGATATATAAATAACTTTTACAAAAAAGATTTTTTTTTAATATAGAGTTCTCCATAAAGTATAACACACTGTACATTGCTAAAATGAATAAGATAATCTATTTAAATTATCATGAACAATTATTAAAATACAACACATCACAGTATTAAACTGTACTGCCTTTTGAAATCAATAGATTACAGTTAGTCTTAGATAAAATAATGTTACGTCCTATACAGGATGAGATGTAACTTGTCTGGGATAGCTTTTAACACAAAACTGACCTAGGTGATCTAAAACAATTGTCAAGAAAATAATGCAGAATATCCTAATTAGGTAGCAGTAAGCTTGTAACCATAGACTGAACGATGAAAGATGCCTCCATACGAAACCAGCTTACATGAACCTAGGTCTTGTTTCCTTAACAAAGTTTAAGGATGACGTCCATATCACCAAAGGGTCAACAACACAAATTCATCATAACACTGTTTCAAATGTTTAAAAGGAGCCAGAGGCTCTATAAAGTCCAGGTACATAAAGGTGAAATAGCATGATATATATAATGTGATCAATATAAAAGTGGACATCGGCCACAAAAGAAACACCTGTATTAAGATTTGTTTCACAGGAAAACATTAATTTTGGGGCTAAACCCAAAGAAATTTGTGTAACATATAATTTTAAACATTTTTTTTAATAAAGCTCATAAATCATATGTAATAATGTACATTAAAAATTTTGTACGATGTAATCTTATCGCTATTAGATAAAATTTGACAATTAATGATGTCAAATACAATGCAATTCTTTACATAATTTGTACCAAAATACACAATCATTGTGCAATATCATATAGGCAAATGTTCACTCTCAACTACTCTAACCACACATGCACATAACATGGACTTTACAAAATTTACACCTTACAGCACTGGACTGCAACCTCATAATGAATTTCCTTCTTGCATATAAAAAAAAAAATTATTTCTCCACATTCCATTAAAAATAAATGGACATCCACTCCATCACACATGTAACATCTTCACATAATAACACATACTCAACTCTCTGTTAGTGAATATAAAATATCAGTGGCTTTACACTCACACCCAACTCACTCACATCCATGAACACTGTGACATGCTAGCTATATGTCTTCCTCTGTGGATGAGTACACTGCCTGGTTTCTTCTCTTAAATTTCTTCTTCCCCTTCCCAGCATCTATACTTGAAGATGATGAAACTGTTTCTACTTGAGGTAATGTTTCTACCTCTTCATCATTTGTTCGCTTTGCCTGTGGACTTCTGTGTGGACTAGATTCACTCTCACTGAGGGAAGAGGAGGTAGAGGAGGAGTCACAAATGAAAGGATTGGGTGAGGTCTGGTTTTCAGCCTTAGGACTGGACAGCACCATTCCTTGTCGACTCGTGCCCAACACGCCTGAATATCTGTAAATGACAATGTACTTATTATATTTGTATATTCAAATAACTGCAGTATGTCAGTGTACATAAATAAATAAATAAATACATTTTGGCACATTGTGACAAAATTTTATTGTTGGTACTGTGTGTGGATGATGCCTTCCTTACATATAGATCTCAGGCACACATTCATTAATTCTTAAATTATCTAAACTCTAGCAGGAGACTTATCTTGAGAGATCAAAGTTTCATTTTCTGCCTCTGTATAAAGAAAACCTTCCTTTACAGGTTTAACTACAGGTTGTACCTCTCTAGTCCGGCAACTCCCGTGGTCCGGAACACGATTTTAGTTTGTCCAATAGGAGTATTAAATTTTTGCCCCTCAGGCCCCAATGTGGGTCAGTGACCTATGCCCGGGTGGCCTAATCCCCATAAAAAAAAACAACAACAAAGCCGCGGGAAATTAAGGTTTGTTTACATCCGGCAGTTCGGCTGCTCTCTCTCTCTCTCTCTCTGCTTGTCTATACAGAGTACAACATTTAACCCTTCAATATATATGAGCAGTAAATAAGTGTTGCTTTCATATTCTTATGTAGAGTAATGATATGTTTTCACATGTGCGCACTTACATACACGCAGTCTCACTTTTTTTTACCATTAATGGTTAGCTACTTATATTGTTCCATTTATTAACATTAAATAACATTACAGGTACTTCAAACAACCATATTAATTTTTTTACATTAGTTTTACTACAGCTACAATCAGGGTCTTATTTTCTTCAGTTTTATATGTAGAACCAGTCACTGGTTTTGTAAGCTTTAACAAAAACAATGCAGGCAGCCGTCTCGTCTCCTCGTGTGTTTTAATATTCCACGTATTATTAACAAATTGTATTGTTAATTTTGCACACACAAACATTAATTCAATATAAACAAATTCAGAAACATTAATTAAAATATATATGAACAGTAAATAAGTGTTGCTTTCATATTCTTATGTAAAGTAATGAAGATATGTTTTCACGTGTGCGCACTTACATACGCGATCTCTCTTTTTTCTTTACCATTATCGTTAGCCACTTCTATTGTTCCATTTATTAACATTAAATAACATTACTTAAAACAACCATATTAATTTTACTACAGCTACAACCAAGGTCTTATTTTCTTCAGTTTTATATGTAGAACCAGTCAGTCACTGGTTTTGTAATCAACGAAAACAATGCTGTGTCATTTCCTCGTGTGTTTTAATATTCTACGTATTATTAATGAATTGTATTGCTCATTTTGCACACATAAACATTAATTCAATAAAAACGACATTCAGTAATAAACAATAATGAATCTTTTGTACATAAGAGAAATGACACTGTTTACAATATTATGCACGTTGTCCGCACGTTGGCGGGCCGTTCAAACCCGTCGAAATTCAAGTTTCCGCCGTCAAAATTTTTATTTATTTTTTTGGTGTATGTTCCAATAAAATACGTTAAGAATTAAAAACTCGCGAAATTTGAGAAGCTACTATACGACATTTAACCCTTCAATATGTCTTCAAAGAGACCATGATGCAGAGAAAGTGGTGCTAGTGCTTCCAAGCATAAGCACAAGTCACTATCTATCCAGGAACAGGGTGAATTTTCATGGTCCGGCAATTTCCATGGTCCGGCACCGGTCAGGTCCCGAGGTTGCCGGACTAATAATAAATAATAATAATAATAATAATAATAATAATAATAATTAATGGTTTATTGAAAGAGCTTGGCAGCCAGAAGGCTGAAAATATACAGTTCCAGTCAACCCTCGTTAATTCGGACTAATAGGGGGGAAGGGTGTCCGTTTTAGCCGATTGTCCGAATTAACCGATTTAGGGGTTAATATTGCATTATATTTCAAAGTCATTGTTTTCGTCACGATTTTATCCCACTTTCCACTGTAATACGTACGTAATTTCAGCAAAAATATTACATTTCCGTGAATGTATTATATCAAGCACAGTATGAATAGAATACCATTGTAATATAACAGTATTTTAACCGAAAACTACTAAAAAAATGAATAACATCTCAAAAACATCGGAAGCTTAGGTAAAGTCTTTTGTTTTCGTCATGTATTTTATCCTATTTTACATTGAAATACATCACGTTTCAGCAAAACTACTATTTATTTCCAAGAATATATTCATTCAGGCGCAGTTTAGGTAAAATATACGTGTGATGTAACAGTTTTTTAACTGAAAACAATTCGAAAAACACGTACCCTCTAGCCCTGTTCAAGGAGAGGACTGGGAGAAGCTGTTTGGTGCTGCAGACGATGACAAGGAAAATGATTTGGATGAATTTTAATGAAAATATTCAGAAATATGGTATCGTAGTATTTATTCAAGTCAATTAGGATAGAATATTATTGTAATACAACAGATTTTTAACTGAAAACCATTCGAAAAGCAATTACGGTAACATCTTTTGAACGAAAGAAAGCGAAAGTCATTGTTTTCGTCACGATTTTATCCCACTTTCCACTGTAAAACGTACGTCATTTCAGCAAAAATATTACATTTCCGTGAATGCATTATATCAAGCACAGTATGAATAGAATACCATTGTAATATAACAGTATTTTAACCAAAAACTATTAAAAAAAACGAGTAACATCTCAAGAACATCGGAAGGTTAGGTAAAGTCTCTTGTTTTCGTCATGTATTTTATCCTATTTTACATTGAAATACATCACGTTTCAGCAAAACTACTATTTATTTCCGAGAATATATTCATTCAGGCACAGTTAAGGTAAAATATACATGTGATGTAACAGTTTTTTAACTGAAAACGATTCGAAAAACACGTGTACCGTGTAGCTGATACTCAACAGCTGGTGGTGCATCATGTGTCGTTGTAAACAATAGGAGGTTGAAGTAGATTACCGGGTATTATATTAAGTGTGAAATATCAAAAAGGTTTTTATTACCGGTATTTTTTGTAGATCAATGAGAACTGTGATACCGTATATGATATGATAAGTTAGCCTGTGCTAAGAACTTCAACATAGACTACTGAAAACACGTTGTAAGGTAATTTAGCCTATTGTAAGTTGGTGAGCTTCATTTGCTGAAGGAACTGCACAACTTTCCATTACTAATTGGTACAAATTTTATGTTTCCATTGTTTACTGGCAGTAAATGGTAAATATTTTTCATGTCTGAAGCTAAAAGTTGCATCCCCCCCCCCCACACTAGTGGTGATGTTACATTTGACCAAAAAGACGCTGGTGTTTTATCCCAGCAGTGGGTGGACCAGCATTTTAGCTTAAGGTCCACTTAGGTAATATTCCTACAAATCTTAAAAAAAAAAAAAAAAAAAAGTTCGCTCAGATTTTGTCCGAATTATCCGAAATCCGGATTAAAGGGTTCCGAATTAACGAGGGTCGACTGTACATATTTGGGGAATGGGTTTCGAATTACAAATAATGTATAAGTAACATAAGTGATACAAATAAGATATATAATAACTAGATGGGGAAAAGCTCAAACTACAGGGCATTTCAACATAGTGACAGTGCAAGAAGTAGTATTTACTGGGAGTAAATACTCCTCATGGGGCAGTGTATATGTATGATTAATAACAGCGTCAACGTATGTATAAACAGCAACATATATTCAGGTATCCTATCTTGAAAACCATTCTTTAGGTTAATTTTTGTATCTCAAATAATATAACATTTGGGGAAATTGGGGATTGGTTCCCCAGTGACCAAAAAAAAAAAAAAATGAAGAAAGAAATGGGTTCATAAACAACAACAAAAATTTCCTACCAAACTACAGTACTATAAATTAGTACTGTACCTAATTACAGGTATCCCAAGTTTAACGATCATTCGCTTAGCAATATTTCGATTTAGCGATATATACAATTTTTAATACTCTTTCTTATATAACGATGGTCAATTTATCAGTTTAGAGATGTTAGATTCATTGAGAAAAACTCGGGAGGGAAATCAGAAAAACTGTGAATTCTGTGTTCCAAGTGTACATCATTACAATAGTGCAATGTGGCTTGAAATAAAAAATATAATGTAAAACTCTAAAATAAGAAAGATTAAGAGCATGGGCGAGTATGTGGAGGCGGCGGGCTAAAACTGCGTGGCAGCACTCCTTCCCGATGCAACTTCATGGCATACACACTGCACAGTGCGGCAGCCACACGTCTCTTGAGTCAGCTGGTTGACAGCCTGGCTGAACTTTGTCGCATTGCCTAGAAGATGGTTGGAGTGTGGAAGGAGCTATTTTTTGTACATAAAATATGTGCTATGTACTGTATTGTATTTTATGATATGCTATGTATTGATTTTATTGTATATCATAGCAAGAAATATGGCAGCTCATCCTGTTGCTGATTTTCAAGGAATATTAATTTTTCATTATCATTACGGTATTTTATTTTGGTGCAATTTTGCATTCACCAGAAGTTATATCTCTTCAATTGCAATAACGTCTTCTAATACAGGTAACACTTTCCTCATATATGGATAATAACCGAGATGGTAATTTCACGTAAATCTGCAGTCACCACATATTGTCTGTTTGTTTACAACTGACCCACTCATTCTAGCATACTCTCACGTCCACAAAAAAATTTAACAATTCTTTTTCAACAAAGTTGCTTTAATTGGTATCATATATCCATATATCAAAATAAGTACCTGTACTTTCTGTTTAATATGGTGGGGGTCTGCCCCTTCCCCCTCACTAGGAAGTTGGGTAGGTTTCTTTGGTTGGTTAGGTCAGTTTTTATGGGAAGGGGATAACTAAAAAATGACTCATTTCTGGTCAAAAATCAATTGATAGTGAAACTGCAATTTTACCTTGAATGTACAGTATGTACAATATACGTAACTGTAATCACTCATCTCGTTCTTATCACTGCTTTAACACTATTCTTGACTGATTTTGTTCTGGTACAGTCATGTACAGCACAGCACAACACAATTTGTAGGCAAATAACAGCAGCAAACGAGGGAACAACCTTCTACAATGGTAGCAGAAAATGAACTAAGCGATCCAAGCATCTAAACCACCCACGCACCTGACATGTGGGGGGATGCATTGGAGCATGATGCAATCTTTCCAAAACCCCTGAAAATTTATTCCCAGGCCTAGAACGGAGAGATTTTTCTCAGAAAATGTGTCTGGTTTCAACCTCGGAAACTCGTTCACAGACCCGGAATTTAGATACTGTTTCCGGAAAATTCCGAGGCAATTTCAATTCCGGGTATTGGAGAGTTGGCTAATTGAGATGGAAAATATATCGAGGTTGAATAATAAAAAAGTACTGTGCCTGTATACTTAATATAAAAACCAAGAGATAAACTCTTCGCCATTAAGTTTTACTTTTTTTACGTGAATTAACCGGATAACTGCACATCCTAAAACACTAAGACACTGTAACATATATAAATTGGAGTGATGAAAATGAACAACACCCACCTTGGTGAACTGGAGAGAGGTGCTTCCCCAGGGCTCTGTGAACCAACTGACTCATCTCTTCTGATGGGACTTAAGACAAACTCAACAGAGCCCTCGGCCTCAGCAGACACATCAGGACTCATTCTCATCTCCATCACAATATCTGCATTGTCTTCATCACTCAGTTCAACCTGTTGAAGTGATATACCTGATATGAAGTGCTCCACTACTTGACAACGATAGTGATACAGATTCATCGTCAAATACTTGAGTAACAATGATGCACACTGATCATTAAATTCATATACAAGTATTTAAAGTTAACTAGATGTCAGTAGCTTACCAAGCAAAACACTCCAGTACCACAGAAAGACATTGAACGCAGAAGAAAATGGATTTAGAAACTTCTACGTTCAGACGATTTTCTCTACTATGTTAAGTGGCAAAGAATAATGACTAATGGAGAACTTATGAAGTCTTATAACATAGATTTTAGCTAAATAAACATCAAGATGTATACACCTGAGAAAATACTGCAGGCATCATTTTAACACACCATGGGTAACAAGGAACTGGTCAAAGACTACAGTAAGTAAAGCCAAAATACATCTTTCATACACGAAAAACATGGTAAATTGGAACCTTGCTATTTACTTACATGAAAATTGTGGACATTAATACTGTATATCTATATTAAGAGACAGTGTAAATACGACTATAGGTCTACTTGTGTGGCTAGTAATATGCAGGAGACAAAGTGGAAATGTGAAATCACAGACTATACTATACTATAGAATAAATTGCTGTGTTTGTGTAACAATTTTTTTTTTTAAATTTTAAGCAAAAATCTTACTGAATAATACTGTCTCAGTGATATGGCAAAATGTTCTTCCAAAAGACCATTACTTTAATAAAAAAAGAAAGTCTCAATAAAGGTTTTGGTGCAACATGAGAGTTTGTGTTGTATAAGGTCTAGTTGCAGATGTAATAATAAAAAAATAGAGAAAAAATTGCTTCTTCAGCTTTTTTTTTGCCATATTACCATAAACACTACATCTTTAACTTCAAAACAGATCCTTTACCTCATCTGGACTGTTAGAAATCTTGGATGTTTCTAATGTAATGTTCAGTTCTGAATCGTTTAGTCCTAAGCTTTGAGAATTTGCTTTTGGAGATGTCTGGGACTTTCTCTTGGCCCCTGACAGTAGAGACAATGGATCATCTAGATCAAGTTTATCACAGAGGGTGGTAGTCTGTGGGTTCAGCACAGGTAGAGGCATACACACCAACTCCATTTTAGGTTTGCCCTTGTTTTGGTTATATGACTCAGCTGTAGGACTGAAATTATTAGGAATTCTCAGATTGCCATTCATCATCTGAATTGTCTCCTCAATTTCTTCTTTTGTTGGAGTGAACTGGTACCTGCAAAGAAACAAGATTTTTCTGATCAAATTAAATTGTCATACATCAGTTGTTGTTTTTGAAAATCAAGTAATTTTTCAAAAATCTATCGGATTTTTCTCTCGTCTGGATTCAACCAGAATACATATTGCCGATCTTACTTTTCTGATGTGCTTTACGAGAAGAGTTTCTTTCCCGTCGTAAATCCCCTTAAAAACACAAAGAAGCCTACAACCAAGGACAAAACATCCATTTTTTTTTCTATTTGATCACTGCAGACACTTTGTTTACAACATCCTAAACACTGCATCAACAACAGAACTTCCAAGTCCAATACACTACACCATGATACAAGAGCCAATAACAGTTACATATAACAAATACGTACTCACACTGGCGGGGTCGCGTGAGTATGGAAGTCAATACCATCTGTATCTATCTATTGCAAGAAGATAAAGAGCTACAGTGTTCATACTTAAGAGTATGAATATACAGTACACATTGACGATGCTCAAAGCTGCAAAAACTAAGGGCTTAAAAGGTACAAGATTAAGGTCACAACTTTATAAAATGGCATCAACCAGCATGGGGCAGCACCTCATTTGAATAGTTTAGTTTCAACGGAGTTCAGTTGTAGTTGTAACCTTTCAAATAAGTTCCGTTCAGAACCTTTAGATAAAACTGTAACCAAACGCTGACCTTATCAATGCATATAACCAAAAGAACATGACCAAATGCTTCATAGCTGAGACAACAACCTGCTCTCCTTCCATCCAGGATAAACCCAAAGATCCATCCAAGACACAATGTACTTTAAGTTGCCGTTGTGTCATCTCCAGCATAATTAAAGCGGGTATAAAACTTGAAGATTAAAACAAGACTTTAAACACACCATTAATTCACATTGATAGGTTGGAATGCTCTTTATATGAATCAGTGAGTGAAATTTGTAAATCTGTGCATACCAAATTTGAAATAAAATATTACTTTTACATATTTCATCTCCATCCTCTAAAATGTTTCCCCATTTACTCACTCACATGTGCATCCCAACTCCCTCCCTTGGGTATGACATAAGAGCCTCATATCCAGGCTCCATGATGTAATGAAACACCTTAACGTCTTGCTACGTATTTACTCACTGACACAATCGGGTTTCCTAACTGATGACACCTAACAAAATTTTGCAAATAACTCAGCTGAGTTTTCTCTAAACAACTTTCTGCTAACCTTGCCTCACCTATGACCATATACATGTACAAGGTTCACCACAAAAGAATACTATGTTCTACTCCTTCAATACATAAACTCTATGATGGAACATCTAAATACCTTAAATACAACATCAATATCTTAACCCACATATGAACCTTATACAAACTAATTTGCTCTTCATCAATTAAGACTTTTTCATCCTTGCCATGTGTCCCTTTTAATCACAGTTCTGTTGCCAACCACTCCAAAACTTTTCACTATTAATGAAAATGAATGTATAAAAGATGAGCATGTTCTCACAAAAAAAAAAGTGTATTAGGAAAAAAAATGAAAGTGCAGTGAACACAACATCCATGAAGCCATACACTGGAACTTGTAAATATGCAGTTCACTGTCAGCTTTTAGGTCTTTCACTCTTTCTCTCTCTCACTCCTGTGAGTGTAGTCAACCAAAAGTATCACAACACTTAGTAATGATTCATAGGGAGATCAAGACCGACCAGTTTACTATCTTTAACCTCTGACATAAATTTCATGGAAAAATACTTCAAATATCATATCCAATCCCAAAATGAAACAACCTGATTAACTCCAACAGGAACTTGTCTTAAGTTTCTCTTGCTCATCTGTAAACCACATCACCCAGGTGTTATTATCACAATCCCACTCTGAGACTAACATCCTTCACACACACAAATACCTCATTGACGTCTTGCAATCATTTCTATCTGTTCCCACTTATCATGTAACAACTTCTATATCTACAGTACTTACTGGTGAATTTCTCGTAACTCTATGAATAAGATTGTAGACTTTACTTACATTACAACTGTCATCTTAGGCTAGCTTAAAGTATAAATTATCATTACTGAAGGCATTTTTAGTATACAGAACCATCACTAACAAAACCATAAGTATGACAATGTGAGCTCCATGATCAAACAAAGTACATGTTGTAGTATTCAAAATATTAAACTTGTGACCACTAAGAAAGAAGTGAATCATCCACTTCCGAGGATAGAAGTCGGGCAGTAGGTGTCAGATCTCCATCCGACCAATTACGCCTCCACACCACTTAGCCCACAAACAACTTAATCCTGAACGAAGACAATCCAGATGCCAATGCAAATTTACCTCTCAGAACCGCCTGGCCCAGGCATGTAGACAGTCTGTGTACCAACAGAGAGAAGGTGGTTGGTAAGACGTAGAATTGTCAGCCATTCTGCATCATAGCTTATCTCAAGTGGCTGGGTGCTTGGAACCTCAATCACCTGAAGGAAGTCTCGACGCGGCAGGCACTTGTCGAGCGCTAAGAATTTTGTGACCTTCACTTTTTGAGTATTTTCGTCCTGTATTGGAGAAGTAAGTTGAAAGCAACATGCTTAGCAAATAACTGATGTGGGGTACACGCATGGTAATTTTTTTATTAGATAAATCCCACCCGTACACAGTAAATATCGTAGGCAGACTATTCTTAGAAACAAAAATAACTGACTACAATAACACCACCTTCACAATTTGTAACAGTATTTCTCGCATGAGTAGCACACTCAAATAAAATTAAAATTATTGGATTAAAAAAAAATAAAATCTTAGGGAAAAAACTCAAATTATGGCAAAGACTTTGCACCATTCACCTGTTACTATAAATCTTAATCTCTAACTTTCAAACCCCCTCTGTTCTACTCTTTCCATCTCCTATTTAGATCATTGGTATGACTGAACAAATTTATGCCTGAAAAAGATGTTTTTATATATTATACTCTATACTGTACCACTTCCTCTATCCTCACTCTCCTCTGTATCCCACACAAGTATCATCTATTTATACCCTATAATATTACAGTACTGTACTTTTTAATCATTCACACTTGCTTTGCCCCACTTCTGAGTTACAAAGTTCAGCATAGTAAATCCAAAGGCTTCTCTTCATCTGTTGGTTTATACTTCACCATAACCTAATTTTAATCTTCTCTTTAACTTACAGTATCCTGGCATTGTATCCTTCAACACTGTGTCCCCCTTTCTTTGAAGCTGTCACATCACCCAACTGTCACCATTCTGCTTCTCACCAGTGCTTTCCCAGTCTCTCTCCAGCCCCTCACACTGAGATCACCCTTAACAAATGTTGTACAAAATTCAATCCTCTTGTTTTTTTTATTCGACAGTATTCAAACAGTTACTGCAATAAGCATTTTTCTCACTTTTTACTGCAGTCCAGTACAGGAGGTCCCCGGGTTATGAGCGGGTTCCGTTCGTGAGGTCGTTCTTAAGTGGGATTTGTATGTGTCGGAACACGTGCTATGTGCATACCGTACTTGCAGAACAATGTTTAAAATCCCATTATATCATGGTTTAAGTCCTTATATACATCTAAAATCAATTAATTTAAGACAAAAGAAGAAATAGAATGATAAAATACAGTAAATGAAAGTAAGAAATAAGTCATCAGGTAAAAAAAATATTGTACTGTAAATTTCATGTTTAACCTCGTTCATAAGTCCGGGACCCCCTATATTAGGGAAAAAATCAGAATCACATATCCCGAGAATCATATAAAAGTTACAAGGATGGTTCTTCTATATCCCATACCCATTATTTCCATAAACTATTGTTTATCTTGTGAAAAAATATGTACCATTTACCAGACAATCACACTATGTACCAAAACAAATCCTTTGCAAAAGTTAATCACAATGTCGCCACTGTTTTGAAGTATTGAAGTATTAACCATACTTCAAACAGACAGTGGTGTAAAGTATACAAGGGTAAACTGGTCATGTTTTTCTCTTTACAAATACTGTAGTGAACCATCGATATGATATTGATCGATTTGAGATCTGTACTGTAGTAAGTACAGGTAGTAGAAAACTGAGTCATGTATTACTAGTATAAACTACAAACATTTGGATCACTTGGAAGAGCACGTGTAAACCTGAAATTAATATTCAGAGCAGCAGCAGTACAGTGTGTTATGAATGAATTTAATACAGTGGAACCCTAATAGTCTGGCGATCTTTATTAAAAAAAAAAAAAAAACCAGGAACAGCATCTTTGTGGTGTAGATTAACAAAGTTTTTTCTTTTCTGCTCATACTATCCTGAGCCAAATTAAAAAAAATAGTATATAATACTGTATGTGAACTGTATACATGATAGAATGCGTTACTAGTGATGTGCATTATTAAATCTAACAATAAAAAAGTCATTTTGCTTCAAATACCTGGGTCTGAATCTTCCAAATCAAAGCACAGTTTTGGTACTGTAAAACATTCAAGAGACAAGCATAAGAAACCTATTAATATAACTCGCTAAAGCTGATTTGAGATTGTTTCAAACACTGACTTGATCAAGGGTGTGGAGATTTAACATTGATAACAGATTCAGGAAAAGTCGAGTCGAATAACCATTACCAAATCCCAAACTCAAGCAATTGTTTCAGCGAAAAAATGGATAAGATTAATCTGAGCAAAAGTTTATACCAAAAGGTATCATAAAATTCAGGTAGTTACTTTCAGTTCGAACCTGTTCTGCATTCAGAAAATTACTGGCTTTAGTTAACATGCACCAGTTCATAAAAGTGAACTGCCCGAGAAAAAAAAATTATGACGGACTTTAAGAAATCGGATGATTACTTAGAATTCCAGGGGACACTAAATTCTAAGGTTCAAAATGGAAGTGATGGCTGTTAAACTTATGCTTTAAGACATCTAAAGGTTCAATATGCTTGAGTTTAGTTAAAGTTTTTTTGCAAAAAGTAGGGAATCAGACTATACACACAGTATTATTCATGGGTTAAAATTCATGCGTTTTCATGGGTCATTTACGATGATCGATAGCCACCCGGTACGGTAGATTCTCACAGTAGGATAAATAACCTTACCAGTAAGCTCCTTTATCCTGGGCTTGCCTACTGTACCCTAGATTCTTTATGTTGCTACATGCAGATCAAAACCCCTTTTGTTTTTCATCCGTTAACATTGCTAGTGGCACTGTTGCCAAGTTAGACTCGTCACTGTAGCCACATCCCCCTGGACAAATAACTCAAAGCAGCCAGATGGCAATACAGGGGATCCCCATTATAAGTGTGTCACTGACACACTGCCTCTCACTCATTCTACTACAATTGTTCCTATTTGTCAAATGATTGTCATTCATGGTACAATATTGTTTATTTGTTGTTCTTAAATTAGTAGAGGTACATAACTGTAATAATCTGTGTTTATTAATACCTGTACCTTTCATATACAATACTGAAAATATCTTGAGAGTAAAAATAACGTCATCAGGAATGCATCTCCATGTACCAATTCCCTCATTAACATCATTTCAGTCAACATTGTTTTGTTATAACGTAGTTGAAAAAAGAAAAAGAAATGTGTATGAAAACGATAAATGTACAAAAAATTAAAAAAATTGGTACTTTATGCACTCAGCGCCTGATAGTGATAACAGCTTGCTGTGTAAGCGACCATTGTGGGCGACAAATTTGTTTGATATTGTTCGGTGGTTGGTGATGGTCTTGCAACAAATTGTGGAAATACAGAAACTATCAAATTATGTGCTAAAAGAGTTACTCCATTATCTGCTGCAAAGTTAACTCGTAACAGAAGTAGCAATATGAAAAATATGGAAAGAATGTTGAAAATGTGTATCAAGGATCAACATCGACAAAACTTTCCATGTTCCGTGCTGAAAGTGAAACATTTGTGGCAAGTTGTGGGAAAATTTTGACCAGAAATTTACCTAACAATGACATTAATGGGGGAATTGGTGTGTATGCAATGGTATAATGATCCTGAAGAGCACTGTGTCAGATAGCAGTCATTTTCCAGGAACATATCCTGAGTGCTAACCGGGGTATTACTGCATTGTAACAATCACAGACACACTGAGCTAGCGAGAGATGCTGGATGGGTTGGGTTGCACAAGAGCGAGACCCAAACGTAAGGGCAGTTCAGGGGGCCAGACACGTATAAATGGGGTCATGTACTATGGATACGCGTATTCTTTAGACCCAACTGTATTCCATACATAAAGTATTTTGTGATATGAACAAAATAACACTGACCCTCAACACCATATAAATAAAAATAATGTACAGGCAGCCCAAGATTTATGAAAGGGTTCCAGTCCTGGGAAATCTTTCGTGAATTGATCAGGTATTTCATAAATTGAAATGCATTTTCCCATAGACACCCATTACAAAAGCTAAAATGTCTTAAAATAACACAAATACTGCAAAACGTGTATTTAACCTCTCGCCTGTAATTAGCCAAGTAAAATATTAAACGTGGTATTCCCTTTGTGAAGGGGGGGTTAAAAAAAATAATTTGGCATACACAATCATTATAAGGGAAATAAAATACATACAGTACAGTACTGTATTAACTCTATCTGTACTGTACTGAATAATGAAACACTAAGTTACAATCCATAATACTGTAAATATGTTATTGTAGTAATACACTGAATCACATTATATAACTGGAGATACATTCTCTATAGAAAAAATCCCATGCTCGAACCATAACGAGTTACTGGGTCAACTTCAGTGAGAGCCAGTCATCAGATGTGGTGGCTGCTGCTGTCTCAACGAACCTGACTTGTAAACCCACAAACTTGTGTGTTCACACGACTCACTACTAAGTATACAGTACTGTATACCTTAAACACAGCTGAATTAGCAAATGGTGAGAAGCAGTGGTACAGTTCTAGTAAGCGAGAGAATTTATTACATAAATTTACTCAATGTTTACCTACAATTCTATGACTAAATATTTCCAATGACTAAAGTATTGAAGATTACTTCAGCAAAATTAAGTTTACTGTGTAAATATCTTAAGTGTAAGAGTAGGCTAAAGGTTGTGTTAGTAGAAAAATTGCATCAGTCAAATTTGAGGTCTGGATCTGGGCTATTATAATGTGATCACTGATAAAAGATCCTCTACCCATATTTAATTTTATTAGATAGATGCAAATTTTAATATATTTTGGAAAAAATAGCCCAGGATGATTCCTAAGTGAAGCTGACCCAAACTATACTGCTTGTGTAGTCAACCAGCAATCTTGAGAAGTTCAGGTGTCTGCTGAGTCATATGAAGACAGAGATAAAGCAAGTGGATTTTTAGGGTCGTGTAGTGAATGGAGTAATGTAGTTAAAGGGAATGAATTACTCTTGAGACCCACAACCCTATGCCATAGGAGGAAAGGGCTTTCAAGAGTGACAACAGTGTGAAAAATAATAATGAAAAACCACTGTATTTTACTGCATAAATTATGGAAAATATTTTATACAGTATACAACAGCCTATTACAACATACAGTATGTTATGCAAAAGTTGGTATGTATTCAAGGCTATTGACAAAAATATAAATGTATATGAGAAGGAAGAACAATATCTAACCCATTACTGCTCTACATATACACAGTACAAGAGAGAAGAGTGTAAAATATACACATGCAACACTACTGGACATTAGCACTGGCAGTATGTGTGAGGAAAAGGAGGTCATTAGAAATATCTTGCTGACAATTTTTCAGACCTTCAACAAATTGTTTCTGCTGACAACTGGAGCTAACCAAAATACAATCTACAGTACTTTCTCTTGCCAACAGATATATGACTTGCACCTAAGGGATTCAGCCAACTTACCATAATTATATAACAACAAAGTCTGCTGAAAGGTTCACATAATAAACCACCACTGTTCAGAAGTCCCTTTTATATTATACAATACAAACACTAAAAAACATTATAAATATCTGCTACATCATTAAACAGTACGTATAAACCCATAAAAGTTATCACTTAAATTTTCTTCCATCCATCATATGACGACAGTATATTATATACAATATTCAAATTTCCCCAAATTCATAATACAGGCCTGAGAATTTCTAGCAGGTCATCACTGCCCTCTGATTAACTATGATGCCCCTAGCAAAACCCTCTTCTTCATGACTTTGTGCCGAGCCCCTCTTCTGTTTTGGCTGTTGTGCCACTTTCTGGTACAGTATTTCCACCCCTGCTTCTACCCCCAATAAAATATTATTGTATTCTCTATCATTTCCACCATTCTTATTTATAACCATCTACTGTACATCAACCATTATGGTTAAAGTACACCTTTGCAATCAGCAATTCAAAAGTGTTTCACACTACGATTAGCTTCAGAAAGTTGATTATTTTTTTCTTTTTTACTGTACTCATCTCAAGTTTTAAAAATAATTATCATGCTAGGCATAATAAGTTTCAAAAAATTTTCAGCGGTTCCTCAATTTTTCAGTCAAGTACTCTTTATCTTCTACTGTACATTGCAGAGTTCTGCATGACTCGGCATGTTCATTCTATATTTCTCATATTTATCACAACTTTATTTCTAGTAGATTTCCTTTGAGTTAATTTGGTGAGTTTGTAATGAACTCACTGGGAGAAAATACATTTTGCCTCCAAGGTTTTAGAACTTTAACTAGTGTTCACAAGAAAACCACTGTCTCCCCTGTTGGATAATCTGATATCTGGATCTTGCGACTAAAAATCCCCATAAAATAATGGAGACTCAAAAATTAATATTTGCAAATCCCTCAACAAAATCTCTAAAATTGTCACCAAAGAAACAAAAAGAAAAACCACAATCTTGCTTCTCTGCTGGAAGGAACAACACAAAAAGAAAATAACTGGATAGCTATTAGTTACCCATCAATCAAATTATACAAAGGAAGAAGTAATATTTGATGAAAGTAACACAGTATATGAGCGGTAACAGAGACCTCGGCATCACACACCAAGTAACTGATGGGTTAACTCAATCATCAACACAGCCTCCAACACAGTTGATAATCACTCACATATATGTACTGTGCAGAGCAAACCCATGTGCAAGAAATATTTCAAACCTTTTAAATTACTCAGCGGTACATATACAGTAAATACTTTTGTCATCTTTATGGTACAGGTACTCAACAAATTATCTGCAAATCCAAGGGTGCCCTTTACAAGAATTTTCTAACTCGTTTATAGACACACAAAGAGTTCAATACATCACATAATATATAACTGATATCCTGAGTCTGACTTAAAGCTGAAAAACCTAAAGGATAATGACACAGATTATCACAAACAATTAAACATTTCACTGTACAGTATGTGAAAATGCCATGACCAAATTTAATAATGTCCAAAAAGTTATACTGTATACAGTACTGAACTTTTTCATCCAATTTCCCTATAAATTCAATTATTACCGGAATAATATTACTTTACAGTACCGTATATCATGATTAAGTAGTCTTTAGATGAAAACCGCAAAATCTGACTCAAATCTGTGATAGACAATTCTGTTGTTCACTAGACTGTTTGAATGATTACTCTTCTTCCTACAACTCAATCACAATCAGTAGTCTGAGATTTAGAATTAAGCCAAAAGGATATTAATAATAATGATTGTATCTCTTGTTTGGTCACACTGCTTTAGGTTCCCGAATTCCTGTCTTGCAGGAGATGATAATACGTGTATTTTACTACTACCACATACTGTACTATACTTGGTAAGTACTTTACCAAGATCAAATTTATGTTTTGAAGATAGTACGAGGTGCCATACCTTGTGTCGCAGGACAGCAGGGAACTTGACATGCAGGTGCCCAGAGAACCAGTACTTGGGACGAATTTTCTTAAGTAGATCCTCAGCTGCCCGTGACCCTAGAGTGTTGTTCTCTATCTCGGAACGAAAATGTTGCTTCCATTTCATCAGCTTTTCCTTAGGGCCATGATGGTAAATACCACGTGGCCAGTCATGGGACATGAAGATGTCACTCTCACCTGAGAGCTGCACACCAAAGAAATTAAAACTATATTCTCATGTAATTATTCCATACAAGACCCAGTATGTGGGTGGTCTGTCAGTAATAAGTATTACATGTCTGTTTGTTTTTTCAGGTTAATATTAGTACAGTACTGTACTGGTCCCCCAGAAAAAGCTTGTGTCTGTGGTAATGTGGCCCAAAAAAAATTTGATGATAGAGAGGCAGGTTATTTTATTTTTTACTGCTGCCTCAAATAAAATTTGCCATTAGATACTTCAATCTCGGAATTAAAACATACCCATTGTACAGTATTACTTAACAACCAACAACACAGTAAGGATTGTACAGAGCATTTGTTCACAACTTTTGTCTTTCAATTTTGTAATAGAAATGTTCTAGATCAAGATACCACAAACACAGTATTTTTTCCTTTGCCATAAAAATTCATAAATTATTAATCTCTTGAATAAATAATAAATACAGTATATTACTAGCACTGCTCTCTAATGAATGAGAAAATAAATTTGAAAGCACAACTGTACTTCCAAGAATGAAAATAAAAATAATGATGATCTAATAAGTACTGTACTTGAAAAGCACAGAAGAAGAAATACAGTACAAAGCATTTAAACTGAAAACTAGTCTCAAGCGGCGAATAAACCAAAATGGTTGGTAACGATATAGAGTAAGCACGTCAAAAAAGTGCAGAGAAAGGCGCTGTCTAGCTGAACTACCTGCCCATCATAGCAACATAGACCTCACCTGCTTAAGCCGAAAGACCTCAAGGTTTCGCACATGATATACACTGCGAATTGAATCCCCAGAATAAGGCGGTTTTTCATAATGCCCCTTGAGGAAGTCTGGGCCCTTATATATCCCTGAAAGGCCCCCAATGCGTAGCCCTCCGAATCTGACCACACCAGCATATCCCAGGTAGTAAATATTTGGGGCAACCCACCCACCATATGGGAACTCTTGGAGGTAATTGGAAGCCTCATGGTTGCCCCCGATGAAAATGGTCAACATGGGGGCTTTCTTCTCACCTGAGTGATACCTGCAATGGTTAATAAAATGAAATCAGGAATGAAAATTGAACATGCATCCTGAAGAAAATCTATGACAATTTTCCTCACTATTTGCCTACAACATAAAAAAAAAAGTTGAAGTACAGTACATGTGCTTCATCAACAAACAAGAGGCAAGTAAAGTGCTGTGCACACAGCAAGAAAACTATCTTTACAGCTGGGCATGATGGACTTCAGAATGGGCATTATTGTTCTTATCATATCAGAAGAGTTTGTATGCCTGATTGTAAAGTGCAGTCTTAATAATGTAATAATATTTGTAGCTCCACTTTACATTACATTTGAAATTAAATAAGTAATAATAAAACCTCTTGAAACCAAGACACCTCAGTTTGTTTTGTTTTATCCACATATGAAAGGAAGTACTGTATGGTTACATATTATTACAATTGTATTTGTTTAACTGTAATACAGACTCTTGATCTATAAGTTATTAATATAATAACAATGTTGTTTTATAAAATGAGTGACTCAAAATGAGATTACAATACTGTATAGTATAATAATTATACCTGTACTTATATACAAACAGGGATACTGTACAGAGAAAGCGAGTCACTGGCAATATCCACATTTTCCCATATATCGTACGTACAGTACTGTACTGTAAGTGGTAATCAGGGCTACCGAAATGACAGTCAAATATTTTTGTTCAGAATATTTCTTCTGTTGTAAAAACTTGTTTGTTTTTTGTCGCTGTGTAATGCAAAAGCTAGGAAATCCTATGGAGGTGGTGGTATGTGACCGATGTTATAAACACTGAACTATCAAGGACACACAATAAACCAAACTAAGTGATCATCAATATTAAGAAATGACAGTGAAACAAATTATCACTTGGGATAAATGTAGGTGCAATATGGGCTGAGTACTCAAAACATATGATCAAGCAATCTCCATCACCATTAACCACATGCATCAACATCTCTCTGCTCCACCAACAACCCTCCCACAACTGCAGGAAACATTACCTGCCTTCATCTCACAGCAGCACTATCCTGACAACATCCTGAGCAACAATACAGTAAATGAGCTAGTGATTTTTTATCTCACCTTGCACCTCTTTATCATGTGGCTGCCATGCTCACTCATCCACCAATTAGCAACCAGACTCTCTCTCTTCCTAACTATTCATACACTTCAGCTATTTTTATTAAGAATAAATTCCAAAGAGCAAATGCATACTATCCGCAACTTTGATTTACAATATCTAAAATTGTTTTCTAAATAATAAAATTGAACTTACTTGTAGAAGTCATGCATCTCCATATACTTGACAGGACAAGCCATGCACTTGAGATCTTGTTCATTACGAACAGACTGGAAGTCCCCACAGCAGAGGAGAAGATCCACCTTGAATCCATGAATTTGCTCAAGTCTGACGACTGAATTGTAAATGGTGTCAAGCTCCCCGTGAGAGCATCCCTCTACGGCAATATACATTTTAGCAATGTGTTGTTTCCTAAAAATAATAATAAATAGAATATTATTAGACTTACAAATAAATATACTGTACAGTATTTACTATCAGTTAAAAGTACTGTACTGTACAGTAATTACCCTTCTCCTTCATACTGCAATGAAAATTAATCAATATTGGGGTACTGTACCAGACTAGATCACTAATATTACCAAGTACCCTGTACTGTAGGTATTATATGGTATATAGCTACTGTACTGTACACTTGCTCCAGAAAATATCTGCAAAGTGGGGTCCTTTGTATGTCAAAATGAACACTGCAACTCCTGTTGTCTAGGTAGGGTTGTCAAAATCCTTCATCCATTGTGCCATATTGTCTAGTAAAAAATCAGCAAAAACTTTTTGTAGCGAGTGTTATAAAAGACTTCTATGTTTATCATAGACTTGAATGGAAGTATTACTGGGAATCTAGAAACAATTGCAAAGATGGTGACACCATAGAATTTTGGATAAGGGCATTGATAATTTAGTCACAGAACATATGGGAATAATGTTATAAGCTTATGATAAGGACTTGTTGTCTACTGTAGAAACTGCTAAATGCTTTTCCAATCACAATAAATTAAGTTAGGAACCTATTACATGTACAGTATTCTACTATCAAACTTAATACTGGTACAGTTGACACCAGATATACTGTAGTGCAATTCAATATAAAGTGGCACTGTAACTTTCTCCCATTTTATTGCACAGTCAGTTTTAATACTGAGTGGTAATTCTAGAGCTCTGTCATGAAAGGAAAATATCAAACACATACAGCTGCTCCTCGACTTACGACCTACTCGACTTAAAACCACCCGGAGATACGACCGCCCCAGTCGTACCAAAAATTTTTCAAATTATACATATTTTCGAGTCCCGACGTTCATCATTGCACTGTGTACTGACAAAATTTTCGTTTGTAATTCCCTTTACAATGGCTGGCATGCTTAAAAGTGAGAGTTTTGTAGTGCTGAGAAGAAAAAGAGACACCCATTTTTTATTTTCTATGTATTATCTTTGCATTTTCGACTTACGACCTGGATTTGGGACCCTAACCCCGTCATAAGTCGAGGAGCAGCTGTACATGTGAAAAATGTCAAATCTGGTGTTCACCCTCAACCATTTCAATGTGATTCCTGCACCCTATGCAGTAAATAACGCTTATGCAATCACCGTACCATATGCTGTAATAATTTTCCCATCCATAATTTAAATCTTACTGCTAGATAGATTAATCCAGTTTGATCAGCTGGCATTTAGGGAGGCGGCCATGGCTCGCAAATTATCTATATAGGCCTGCCAGTGTCTTCTAAGTCATGGCAGAAAGCTGATGTAAAGTTTTCTAAGTTGAAGTTTGAAATACAGCTGCGGTAATCAGATTTAATATATGTACAGGTACTCCTCGACTTATGACCTACTCGGCTTACGACCACCTGGACATACGACAGTATGTATAAAGTATTTTTCAAATTACGTATTTCCGAGTCCCGACTTTAGTGATTGCGCTGTGTACGGACAAAATTTTCGTTTGTAATTCCCTTTAAATTGGCTGGCAAGCGTAAAAGTGAGTTTTCGTGGTGCTGAGAAGAAAAAGAGACACCCATTTTAGATTTTCTGTGTATTATTTTCGCATTTTCAACTTACGACCAATTTGACTTACTACCTGGTCATCGGTCCCTAACCCTGTCGTAAGTCGAGGACTGACTGTACAGCATTGAAGAGAAAGCTGCTTCACAGGCATAGGTGGTAACAAATTATACAAGCACCTTGATAAATCAATTTTTAATCGCTATGTCTGTTTGACGTCAAAATTCATCCCTGCCTCGCCTTGCCATCTCGAGAGCTAAATAGCCTCACCTTGAGCTCTATTGTCCACCATGTTATCAGGTCCTGCCTAAGGTCAGAGCGGCTATACTTCAGGTACCTGATGTACAGGTGTATATCCATTGACCCAATTAGATATCACATGACCCATCTGTTTTCCCACGACTTGACAGAAGAAAAATGACTACATTTATCCCCGACCATAGCCTAATTTATGGTTCCAACTAAATAAGACACCAACTACTACTTTACTATTCTCCCTTGGCACCTGGCCTAAGAACAATTATTTGTGACCATTGCAAAGGCCAAGACAACCCCAGTGACACCATGAGCTCTATGTGACCCTCTGTGATGAAGCTTGCAGCCCCATTTGGGAACCCCAGATCTACAATTGTACAGTATTAGGAAAAGACCATAATTCAGCAATCCATTCCTGCAAGATTAATTCTGAGATGACTTATGACAATTCACTGAAGCTCTAAATGCACTGAAGCACACAACACTTTATTAAGTAATTTCATATTTTTTTCGGAATGACCAAACATGTATTTTGTACAAGGAAGTAAATATTTTAGTAAGAAATCCAATTACAGAATGATGTTACTACAGCAAATTTAAAATGTCCACTTTGTCCTTTTTTCTACTGTCATAATGTGTAAAGATCCTTTCAAAAAACATCTGGAATTATGGCAGAGCTCATCTCCTTAACCTTCATTAAATAAAGTACTTTCCCCCAAAAATATTAAATCAATTTTTAAGAAAAGTAGTCAAACCACTAGGATTTTATTTAATAAACCACCTATTTACAGTTAACATCGTACTGTATTGAAAAACTTCTTTCTTACCTCCAGAAAACAGCAAATCATGAGTAGGAATTGCAAGTTTTGTACAACTTTGTTTATCTGGGTTTTTCTCTATAAATTATGGACCATGTCCGCCTGCCACTATATTTTGCTGCATCGGGTGTTGCTGACATGAGAAGTCTTATCAGTGAACATTCCACTTTCAGCCAACATGTTTACCACAACCCCAGTAAAGAAGGGAAGCAAAGCCTATTTAAACTCACCTATTCTAACCTGTATATTACAATACATCATCATTAGGTTAGGTTAGGCATGGTTGGTTCATGATATCTCAGATTAATATACTGTATCAGTAATGTACCAGTCGCTGGAAGTATTCACATGGAAAGTTTCCTGGAAATGTGCAGTTGCTAGCAGGCATTTTATGTAAACAACACTTGAAGCAAAACAAATGGTGACAGCCAGATGTGGTCCATTACACTGTACTGTTCTGTATGTTTATGTGGAGAAAATCTCAGAAAAGCAAAATACAAAATTGCAAAGCTTGCACTTAATTTACAGTTTTCTGGGAGTAAGAAACTAGCTTACAAAGACAATAATAGGTAATACGTACTGCATTGCATTTAACATACGTAAAATCATGAGCGCCGTTGTTTATAGTCAGTGAGTCTGGGTACATTACTTCCCAAAATATTGATATCAGTCCAACTAGGCCTACATCCTACTCAGACCATCAACTACCAACTTGGACCATCTCGGATAACCAACTCGGACCACTTAGGTTAACGAACACATTTTACACATTTATTTTTGCATGAATGATAAAAGTAAAAAAGTACAATGATAAAAGGCAGCTTAAAAATACAAACATTATTGATAAACAGTCACGTGATGTGAAACGGCTTGTAGCAAATTTTTAACAGATCTTCATCCACTACTGAATTCGTCCCACAGTTTGAAGAGCTGTCCTTGGTGATGTACAGATGCCAGCAAAAGTCCTCCCACATCCCTTTTGCTGGCAACTGTACATACTTGGCCCGTTGTATTCGTAGCACTTTACCGTTGGACAACATAAGAACATAAGAAAATAAGGAGTCTGCAATAGGCCGGTTGGCCTGTGCATGGCAGCTCCTGTCTAGAGTTACTACCACTCTCTATCATCCATGAATCTATCTAGCCTCCTTTTGAAACTTTCCAGAGATCCAACACTTACTACAAAGTTGCTAAGCTTGTTCCACTCGTCCACCACCCTATTTGTGAACCAGTTTCTTCCTATCTCCCTCCTGGAGTGTCACTAGTTTTGCTTCATTATGGAGTAGCTTCATTAACAGATAGAAGTTAAGTTGTCTTTTTCTTGCTTTGAAGTTAAGTAGATTATGCCACGCTTCACATAAATTATTTGTGTGGACACTCCTTTTAAATACGCTCCAAGCAGATGAGGTCCAGATGTCATTCCTGAACCTCTAGTCAGCTACTTGTTTGAAGTGTGCAAGGTGGGCCGAGTTAGTAATGGGTGGGCCCAGTTGGGGGTACACCAAAATTTCTTATACTTCTACATTATATAATTCATCATTCATGAAAGAAATCAACTTACCTAACCAAACATACATGTAGTACAGTTATATATCTTCTATTTTATAATGGAAAACACGATAAATGTTGCGTTACCCACTGTTATGTGATCTTCAAATGTTAGGAAACATATAATAATGTTTAGGTGAAATTTAATATAAACAAAAGTGCTCATGATTTAATGCCAGTTAAATACAAGATTACCCAATAATAGTCTTTAACAAGGTGGCTTAAGTACCATTTGCAACTAAAGGATAACAGGATCAATTAGCACTGCAATCATTTTTCTTATTGTTTTAAAGGATTTTAACCATGCAAGTTTTAATGCAAATATTATGAAACTGGTGAATAAACGAGTAAAATATATAGCTGTAAATGTTATATAAAGTACAGTAGACCCAAAGAATCACCCATACCTACCCGAGGATGATTTGGGTGGCTTATCAAGTTTCATTTATGATTTTCAAACTCTATATTCTTTCCATGCACCATTATCAAATTTGCATTTCATACATTAAAACAAACCTATTGATAAATAATTCAGTATATTAACTGCCCATACAGTTGAAAAATAATGTCATGTTTAAGAAATTCGAGGATAACGCCTTAGGTCTGTAACTTATAAAATGGGGGGCCCATCCAACTTGAAAATCATTGTTGAATACACAGAGTGATAATATTGGTGTAACCGGACCAATATGTATCCAAGTTAATAGATAATCAGCGTACATACCCTAGACAGCGGTGGCGGCGGCGACCCCTAACACACACACTCGACACACTAAGACTACTACTGCGGTTTCTTAATAATGCTTATTTCCGCTTAATTCGTCATGTTAAATTAATCATTAACACGAATGTCTCACGATAAAATGAAAGCTGCAAGAGAGTGGAAAGCTGTCAAACTAAATAATCCCCCCGAGGTCGCGTCCCCAAGTCCACCGTCTTGTTGTTTACGAACAATTCGTGTCCGAATTTGTTGTTAACCTTCTATTAGTATTAGATTTTTTACCGTAACAAATATATCATAAATGAACTTTTAAAAATTAACCAAAATTTAAATAGTTTAAATTTAGTACAAAATAAACTTACCTAATTGTAGATTAGTGTAATAGATCCGAACACTGCCTAGCCTCTTTAACACAGAGAACAACGGTGTAGTTGATGTATGACTGAACTAAGTCGCTTCTTATCATATACAGAATACACCTCAGCCTGTCAGGTCGTCCCTCGTAGTGACGGAAAACTAAATTGTATACGTAAGCTGTGATGTCAAATTGTGTTCTCATCAGGTAATCAGGACCTCAGTACAGGTGTGTATGGAAGAGAATGAAGGTGGAATACCGACAAGGGTTAATATGTAATGTTATGGCAAAGCCTTTTGTATGTTCATAATGAGCAGGATAACGCCAATTCTTATATACAGTAATTCATATATATTTTCTTATTCATCATTGCCCAATACTTTTTCTTTAATGCAGTATTGTACTCGGGAGTTTTTGTATAGTAAAAAGTAATAACTATTGACCTCAGAATATCTCCTAATGTCAAGTGCACATGACCTCAAAATACCCATGATATTGGTCAGATTTCATTAAAATTTCTGGGGGGGGGGGGTCTTACAGCGTCCTCCCAAACCGCCCAGCTGCGGGGGTTCGTTGTGCTCGCCCTGTTCTCTCACTCCCCTACCCCCAGCCCCTTCCCTTTTTGATATTCCTGGATCCGCCCCTGTAGCGCCGGGGTAGATTTTTTTTTGAGGCAGCAATTTCACATAACCGGTAGACTAACTCCATCTCGGTAAACCGCATACTATAGTGTAAATATCCCGGTAGACCTCATATTATAGTGTAAATATTCCAGTAGACCGCATTCTTTATACTGTAAATATCCCGGAAGACAGCATACTATAATGTAAATATCCCGGTAGACCGCTTACAATAGTGTAAATATCACAGTAGACCGCATACTATAGTGTAAATATCCCTGTAGACCGCATACTATATAGCACCGATTATAGAGAATCAGTGTTAGTGGTTATACGTTAGCATACAGTCCAGTTTATTTTCTTAATTTATAATTTCACCACTGCCGTTTGGGCAGTTGGTCTGTTTTCTCTGTTATTTTATTATGGAGTTTATTGTTCAGTGTTCGTACAGAGGGAAACCGGAGTACTCGGAGGAAACCTGCGATGATTGGTAAAATAGGGAAAAGTTTATACTGTACACTGCATTCCATGTAGCAACTGTAATGGAAATTTTGTAGGACAGACTGGGAAAGCATTGCAACTCAGGATTAAACAGCACAAGTACAATATCAGAACAGCATCTGAAAGCAGTGCACTGTTCGTTCATGTTAGGAACAATAATCATCCCAATGATTGGGAAAACAGCTTAGAAGTGTACAAAGCATCATGTGTCACAGAAAGACTTCTGGTTGAAGCTAGTTTGATTAGGGAATTGAATTCTATAAACTTTAGTGATGGTCAGTACAAAACTGATAATATGTTACACAAATTTATTTATCAGTGGCCCAAGGTTAAAAATGCTTTTAAAGCATTGGAATTAGATGTAGACTAGATGATTAGTGGATCACATATTTTTGACCTGACTTAACTTGACTAGTCACGTCGCCCTTTCTCTTAAGCCCCTTTGCGTGTGTGGTGGTGTTGGTGTGCGGATTATTGGATGTCATGTTTATGACCTGACCTCATGTTTAGTAAGGTCACCCTGTGTATTTAAGCCTCTCTCGGTCCATGTAATTTAGTTGCCTCATACTGTGAAGGGCCACCGCCCCAGCCAATCACCTCCACTCAACTAGGTGGATAGCCCACCTGCTATTATTCCTGACTATTTTATTTCGCGTTTCAATTCTTTCATTCTCTCTTTCCTATATATTGCGCTTGTGAGACCTCACTTGGATTGCGCAGTTCAATTCTGGTCACCGTATTACAGAATGGATATAGAATCCTTGGAAAGAATTCAGAGGAGAATGACAAGACTAAGAACATAAGAAAATAAGGAGTCTGCAATAGGCCGGTTGGCCTGTGCATGGCAGCTCCTGTCGAGAGTTACTACCACTCTCTATCATCCATGAATCTACCTCGTCTCCTTTTGAAACTTTCCAGAGTTCCACCACTTACCACAAAGTTGCTAAGCTTGTTCCGCTCGTCCACCACCCCATTTGTGAACCAGTTCCTTCCTATCTCCCTCCTAAATCTAAACTTATCCAACTTAAATCCGTTGCTCCGAGTCCTATCCTCCTCGGATATTATAAGAACTTTATCTATATCCCCTTTATTGATTCCTGTCACCCACTTAAATACTTAATCCCGGGCATTATGAACCTTGAGTACAGAGACAGGTTAAAGCATATTAATTTGCACTCCCTCGAGAGACTTATAGCGAGGGGCAACATGATAGAGGTGTATCAATGGAAGTCAGGGCTAAACAAAGGGTTGAAAGGGGCCATTACAAAGGTACTCAAACTATCCAACCAGGAGCGAACTCGTAACAATGGTTTTAAATTAGGCAAATTTAGGTTTAGGCGCGAAATAGGTAAACATTGGTTTGAAAATATAGTGAATGAGTGGAACAAGTTACCAAATATCATCATTAACTCGAATATGCTGGATAGCTTCAAACATAGGTTGGATGCTTATATGAGCAATAGGGGTTGGGTGTAAATGGGACTGCCCAGTATGGGCCAATAGGCCCGCTGCATTCTTACCTCTCTCATGGCAAAGCCATTTGCCACTTTACTTCACCATCATCATCCTTCGTTAGTCTGTACTCACTCCTGAAGATGTGAATTACATAAGAGCATAAGAAAATAAGGAGTCTGCAATAGGCCGGTTGGCCTGTGCATGGCAGCTCCTGTCGAGAGTTACAACCACTCTCTATCATCCATGAATCTATCGAGCCTCCTTTTAAAACTTTCCAGCGTTCCAGCACTTACTATAAAGTTGCTACGCTTGTTCCACTCGTCCACCACCCTATTTGTGAACCAGTTCCTTCCTATCTCCCTCCTAAACATAAGAACATAAGAAAATAAGGAGTCTGTAATAGGCCGGTTGGCCTGTACATGGCAGCTCCTGTCGAGAATTACTACCACTCTCTATCATCCATGAATCTATCCAGTCTCCTTTTGAAACTTTCCAGCACTTACTACATAGTTGCTAAGCTTGTTCCACTCGTCCACCACCCTATTTGTGAACCAGTTCCTTCCTATCTCCCTCCTAAACCTAAACTTATCCAACTTAAATCCGTCGCTTCGAGTCCTATCCTGCTCGGATATTATAAGAACATAAGAATGGAGCGGGCCTATTGGCCCATACTGGGCAGTCCCGTTTACACCCAACCCCTATTGCTCATATGAGCATAAGAACATAAGAAAATAAGGAGTCTGCAATAGGCCGGTTGGCCTGTGCATGGCAGCTCCTGTCGAGAGTTACTACCACTCTCTATCATCCATGAATCTATCTAGCCTCCTTTTGAATCTTTCCAGAGTTCCCGTTTACTACAAAGTTGCTAAGTTTGTTCACTCGTCCACCACCCTATTTGTGAACCAGTTTCTTCCTATCTCCCTCCTAAACCTAAACTTATCCAACTTGAATCCGTTGCTCCGAGTCCTATCCTGCTCGGATATTATAAGAACTTTATCTATATCCCCTTTATTGATTCCTTTCACCCACTTAAATACTTCTATCATATCTCCCCGCACTCTTCGTCTTTCTAGGGAATGCAAGTTAAGTTTCTTTAACCTATCCTGATATGGAAGGTTTCTAAGTCCCGGAATCATTTTTGTCATTCTTCGCTGCACCGACTCTAGTGAATTTATATCCATTCTATAATAGGGGCACCAGAACTGAACCGCATAATCGAGGTGCGAACTAGCCAATATAGTTGCAAAGACTCTACTTTTTTTAGATATAAACCAATTTGTTTGCCTTTTTCGAAATTAACGCATGTTTTCTGGCGTAGGTCCGCTTATACCCTAGGTCTTTTCCGTCGACTTTCTGGTTGTTGTTGGCTGATACATTATAACATATGAGCATCCAACCTATGTTTGACAATTCAGCATATTCGAGTTAATGATGATATTTGGTAACTTGTTCCATTCATCACTACTCTGTTTCCAAACCAGTGTTTACCTATTTCACGCCTAAATCTAAATTTGTCTAATTTAAAACCATTGTTACGATTCGCTCCTGGTTGGATAGTTTGATACCTTTGTAATGTCTCCTTTGTTTAGCCCTGCCTTCCACTTATACACCTCTATCAGGTCGCCCTCGCTCTACGTCTCTCAAGGAATTGCAAATTAAATGCTTTAACCTGTCTCTATACTCAAGGTTCCTAATGCCCGGGTAGTCTTGTCATTCTCCTCTGAATTCTTTCCAAGGATTCTATATCCATTCTGTAATACGGTGACCAGAACTGAACTGCGTAATCGGTGTGGTCTCACAAGAGCAGAATACAGTTTTAGGATGACCTCCTAGGTCTTGTAACTAACACTCCTTTGTATGAACCCAAGTACTTTATTAGCCTTGTTACGAGCAAAAACACATTGTTTACTTGGCAAGGTTCCTACTTATCATTACTCCTAAATCTCTCTCGCAGTCGGATTTCTCTATGGCATCGTTGTTCATCTGGTATCTGGTTTCCTGTTTACATCTCCTATACTGAGTACTTTACATTTGTCGACGTTGAATTTCATCTGCCATTTTTCAGACCATTCGAAACATTTGTTTAGATCTTCCTGTAGTTTTGCCGAGTCCTCGTCAGATTTGATAAACGTCCTATTTTAGTGTCATCAGCAAATTTACTTATGTTGCTGTCAATGCCGATATCTATGTCGTTTATGTATATAATAAATAATAATGGTCAAGTACTGACCTTGGGGAACTCCACTTGTGACGTTGCTCCAATGGGACTTAGTGCCGTTAATGCTCACTCGCTGTTTCCTGTCCTGTAACCACGCCTCATCCATTTAGGATGTCCCTTTGATGCCGTGAGCTTCTACCTTTCTAATTAGTCTTTCGTGGGGACTCTGTCGAGCTTTGCTAAAGTCGAGATATACCACATCATAATTGTGCCCCTCGTCCAGATTCGAAGACTGATGAAAAGAATGTTAATAGATTAGTTGGCAGAACGTCTGCTTGTGAAGCCATGCTGGAGAATCATTGATCAATCGGTGCTTCTCAGGTGATTTCGAATAGAGTTTGAAATGATTGCTTCAGTAATTTGCCTACTATTGATGTTAGACTGATTGGGCGGTAGTTAGGATAGTGATCTATCCCCTTCTTGAAAATCGGTATTACATTCGCTATCCTCCGGGATTCTGGTACTACACCTGTTTTTAATGACATGTTAAACAACTTTGCTAAGGGCATACTAAGCTCTTCTTACATTCCTTTAATACTCTGGCAAATATCTCATCGGGACCAGGTGACTTATTAGGCTTTAGTTTGTCTATTTGCTTACTAACATCGTTACTAGTCACTACTATCTCCTTAATTTGTTTTCTTCACTATCTCTGAATAGAGTCGGTG